CGAACGGACCCCCAGACCGTTAATGCGTTTTTGGTGAATGTCTGACTGGACCCCCAGGCGGTTAATGTGTTTTTGGTGAATGTCCGACAGGTTCAGTACTCTGAATCCAACCGGGCCCGTAACGGTTAATCAGCTACACCCCTTTAACGCGACATACCTAGAGAAAGTTTTTTAACTACCAAATAAGCAGATTCCAGAACTTCTCTAGGTAGTCTGTTACAGCGTTTTATCACTGTTAGAGTGTTTTAATTACACAAAAAACTGTTTCTCATACTCAATATAAATCATTCTTGCTATAAATAAAGATGGTTTTCATTCCACCGGAGAAACGAATAACAACATCACAGAAGAATTTCTAGTTTGTCTGCATTTTCTCAAGATAAAAAAATGGTGGGGATGCTGAGAAGACCAACAGTATACAGAAGACTTGCCAAAAAGGACAATATACTATTTCCTACAATATGTTGTTATCCTCCAGAATAAAGCTTTTTTTTTTTTTTTTTCAGTGGCATAGTTAGTGTTTAAACTGAAGTCTACAATATCTTCAGATCCTTTTCTGTCATTTTACTGAGTAATTATTTCCTGATTTGTATTTATATATGCTTTTCCTTTTATACGTAGTGCTTTATGGTTGCATTGCATGAAACGTATTGCATTTCATTTCATTGATTTCAGAGATATTCATCAAGAGTGTGTTGGATTCAGACCTTATGTTAAAACAAACAACAAAAAAAAAAAAAAAAAAAAACACCAAAATTTTCAACCTCTCTTCCACTTAACAACATCAATAACTTTTGTAAGTGTGTTCTCTTCAATCATCCATCTCATTAGTGCCTTTCCATTTAGACAGGATACTATAGATAATTACCCTATAAAGGCAATTTCTCAACTTGATGCTGATAATATCACCACCTAATGGGGGCAATATTGATATTATATTTCACCAGCTTGCTTATGTGAGGAAAAAGTCTTTATTAAAATGAAGTAGTATCGTACCTAAAGTTTCTCCCTTACTAAGCTTGCCATCCTTTCTAAGAGATGAATATTAAGATTTTTTTAAAAACATGTATGGGTCAAAATATACTGTCTGTTTTACAATTTCTCTTCTGAGTACTTCAAGGTACAAATTAGTTGCTAAAATATTTGCTACTAAACCTTAATTTGGAACTGAAAGTAACAGCTTCGATAACTCTCAACAAAAGAAAGAAGAGACAAACACAAACAGACACAGACAACCTCTGGCACTTTTCTGGTTATTTTAACTCTCTAGAATGTTAAGCAAATAAATAAATAAAATCAGCAGTGCCTAATTCCACAGTCATCTTAAGAAGAATTTTATTAGAATTTGTCTCTTGAGTGCATCTATATTAAGATTCCGTAGGCTATTCTTCTGTGCTTCAGTTCTACTCTTTTTTTCTGTCTAAAATTAATTTTCTGAAGTAGCAGGTCACAACATATCTCTTACAAACTAAACACAGTATCTGAAAGTCTGTTACTTGTCCTCTTTTCTTATTAAATAAGAGATCTAGGTAATTGACCCTGTACGCTGCCTCTTGCTTAGATTTTTGGACCCTTTCATTGGTTCTATTCTTTTGCTTTGTAAATTGACACATATTTTATTCTTTGGAGTCACTGATTTTATCATCACATTCTTATGCTCCTCCTTTACATTCATCCCTAATAATCAGTATTATTTTTGCTCAGAAAACTCTTTGATTTTGTGTGTTTACTTGTAGGATTTTCATAAGTGCTAAAAGTTTTTAAGATAAAATAGTATCTTTGCATACAAATGAACTCTATCTTACTAAGTCAGCAAGACTTCACTCTCTTCCTGTAATTCTGCTTTCCAGATTAGCTTTATAGAACAGTGAATAGTTGCTTGAACTTACTTTCTTTACTCATCAAATTTTTGAAAAAACGTCTTAAATGAGGCATCAGGAGAAGTATGAAAAAAAAAAAAGTGTCCTGACCTCTTCCATATTTATACTGTATTGGGCTATCGCTGATAATCTGACAGATATGTGGAAGATGAGTGCAGAATTGAAATATTAGTATGAACAAAAGCTTAAATCTCCCAGATAGATGGTCACAGAGGTCCTCTTTCTAATGCTGTGTTGTCTGCTGAAAAACTTGTGTTGAATGGGCCTTGGACTCAAGATTCTGTGTCAGTCACAAGAATGCTGTGATTTTTTTTAGTGCAAAGTGGTTTTTTTGATGTTTAGTGAAGAAATATTCTGTTTAACTGTTCACTTATTTCAATAGTAGATGTTTTAGATGTCAATTTGAAATCAATAGATGTTAGAGATGAGAAATCAAACTATAGGTATGCATTTACTTACAAAATCTTCCTTTACATCTACCCTCATAATAAAATACAAAACGTAGACCCCAGATGCTGAAAACCACGTTTTATCATTAATTCTCATCTCTTTCTTGCTCTTCAACTGCAGAGAGAAATATTCTCAGATCAAAGACTAATTGGAAGCCCCAACTGCGTTGTCTCTTAATCACTGTATAAATAACATCACTTCATCATTACCTAAAATAACCTTACAGAAGATTGATGTTGTATTACTGTCTGGATTTTGATATGCATCTGTTAAACACCTATCATTTTGTAAAGAACAAAGTGACTCTTTAACCATTTGAAATAGCTACTAGCACTAATTGAAATATCATTAATACACTGCACTTACAGAAGATGTCATTTATTTCTGATATTCCTGGGAAACAGGAATATTTTTAGAAGTCAAAAAAACAAAGGAATACACTGAATGAATCCCATAGATGAAATCAGTATTTTTATTAAAGAGGCTGAGTGAGCAACTAGTAACAAATTCCAGAATGCGACTGTACTGAGTCTGGCTGGGATGGAGTTAACTTTCCCCACAGCAGCCCTTACAGTGCTGTCTGTGCTTTGCACTTGTAGCTGATGTTTGGCTACTGCTGAGCAGTGCTGGCACAGCTTCAAGCCTGTTTCTCCAACTCCCCTGCAAAAGCCAGTAGGCTGAAGGTGGGCAAGAGGTGGGGTGTGGACATGGCCAGGGCAGCTGACCTAGACTGACCAAAGGGATATCCCACACTGTAACATCATTGCTGTGGGGAGAAAGAGATGGGGGGACACTCCTTATGAAGGTCTTCTAGAGCAACTACCATGTATATACTGAGGGCCTGCTTCCCAGGAAATGGATGAACTTCACTGGCTGATGGGAAGTTGAGAGTATTTTTTCTTCTCCTTTTGCTTCCATGCAGGGCCTATTCTTCTTTTTCTTTTCTCCTTTCATTACACTGCTTCTCTATCATCCATCTCATATTCTCTCCTGCCCCTGTCCTGCTGAGGAGAGGGAGAACATATGCGTGTTGCTTAGCTGCCTACCAGTGTTAAACCACAACATTTACACTGAATGCCAGAAGACCAAATGCAAGACAAAAATACATTCGAATCATAGGTTGCCTTTCCAACTTCAACTCAGCAAACCTAGATTTCATACAATGTGATAGAAGAGATTAACAACTGACGAATGCCTCGAGACAGCAAAGAAAACAACGATAGCTCATTGACTTATCTTCCATAAACAACCTGGCAAAGTCAAAATATTAGGGCTTCAAGTTACAAAATCAAAACCAGCTCGCAAGAGCCAGAATTGATAAAACAGTAATGAAGAGCAGTACAAAAAGTGCTGCACTGTTAGAAGCTGTTCATCCGTCATTTCTGTCAGTATTTGATGGAAACTGAAAATCCTGCATCAATGCAACACATTCTGTCAATGAATTCTAGCAACTGAGACAGAATTCCTTTATTGGACAGAGTTAAAGATACACTGAGTGCTAAGAGCTCCCACCGACTTCAGAAAAATCTGTGATGAGTCAGCACTCTTAAAAGACATATTATTAGGTAAAAAAAAAAACAAAAACCAAACACCTAAATCTGAGAGTCTAATTCCAGCATATTTAAAGTATTACCTTGTAAACATTGTGATGTTAAACTGAAGGGAAGAAACACTGATTATATATTTGCATTCCCTGCAGTATAATGGGCATAGATAGCATCATCCTTCCAAATTTCTGGATATGTCTCTAATTTTAATTTATTAAATAAGAAGCATGTAATAAATTGCATGCAATCCTTATTCTTCTTTACCTCATATTCCATTTCCTCTTCTTCCCTAATTTTATGTTCTTGTCATCCTTTTCCATAGCATGTTAAATTGCAAACATCTCTACAGGGATGCATCAATTCCACAAGTAAATTCCCATTCCCTGCTGAACTGCTAACTGCTGTTGCTCTTAATTAATTGAATGTTAAAAAAAAAAAACAAAAAAAAAACTTGACAGAAGACACTGCATGGTAACTTCTTGAGGATTTTCTAAAAAAAAAAAACAAAACACATCTCGAACACTAAGATGGAGAGCCAAAATATATGCCTAATAAATGATATTGACATTTTTCAATTGAAAACAGTAGTAGGTAATGAGAACTGTCTGAAGACATACCTTGTATTTACTGTAGTTAAATCAAAATGGTGGAGGGTTTGGTTGAAGCACTCTGACAGAGTTGAGACTATGAGAGTTAAGTAGAAAGACGTCTTTGACTAAACCTGTATCAGGAGGTATGAGCACAAGGGATCCCTTATGCTACAAACGTAGGTCTCAACCACTGACAATCACATCAGCAGATGAGACAAATATCCTTGTGTTTGAATAGATTTTGGTTATGATAAGAATACCACGTTCTGATATACGGATTGATAAGCAGAAGTCTACAATGCATTTCACATGTAAAAGTGAAAAGAATGCAAAGCTTACATGTGCCATCCTTTGTGCTAAGTAGGTAAAACATCACACTATGGCAAAGGTATGCAGCTCCCTTTCAGAATGGTTCGAAGAACGTGAATGAGTGGCTGTTGGCACACTGTGGGCAGTAATAGCCATAACTACTCATTTGCTGGTTACTGTTACTTACCAAAGAAGTTGGCCTTATGTGTACTAACATGTAATACCTGTTTTAAGGACTCTGTATGTCACATAGCCTTATTTGTCATGCACAGTGCCGATGCTAATTTTATGCATTGGTTTTGTGGCCTCCATGCCTTTCTTCCATACTACAAAAAAAAAAAAAAAAAAAAAAGGAATCTTGCTTAAATTCCCATTTCACAGCTCTGCTGTATTTCTGTTCTGCTTCTGTCTGATCTGTATGAATGGATCACCAGACAGTTCTGGAAATCCCAGGATGAAGACTAAGATATATAGAAGAGACTCAGAAGCAATGCCTGTTCTACATACTGAAATACAATTAAATATAATTTACCACAGATGACAGAACACTGAAATCTTGCATTATACATACCTTAGCTTCACCATTTGCAAACACAGTCATTGCTCAGATTTTATTCCATCTTTCTTTTGACACACATATGCATACCAACTGCACAGTCATGAATATTCAGTAGTATGCAAGTGCTGATCCAAGTACTGCACCGCAGGAACATAATGTCCTTTAACCTTTTATTAGAAATACTTATTAGATGAGAAAAGTAAAATCTGTCCTAAACGCATAGCTAACTCATAATTAACCTTTGTCCACATCTGTACCAAAAGAAGTACTATATGTAAAACCAAAGACTGTATATATTTACAGCACATTAAAGCCAAGGCCCTTCATCAATATGAAGTTATGCCTGTTCACCATCAGTTTTAAGTTTTGGTCTTGCATTATATGGTGTAACAATAATAATTGGATCTAACTATAGACAAGAACTCTCAACTACTGAAAAGATAAAGAATGGTATTTTACATCAGCATATATCTCATTTTTTTAGGCTCCAGTTCTGCAGAAATATAAGCTGATGGAATTTCCGAAAGCTAGTTACTCCCTCCCATCTTAATCCAACCTGGTATAGCTCCTATCCCTCTCCCCTTTTCTTAAGCAGACTAGCACCAACACTCTCTGCTGAACTGTTTTAGTGTGTTGATGAGGCAGAAAACAATCCTGTTTCAATTGTTTCAATTTATTTTTCTCCAGTTTTGGTACACAAACCAGTCAGCCCAGCATCATGGAAGACCCATGCAACATCAGTGTGCCCCACATCAGGCCAAGAAATAAACGAGCACTCACAAGACTGTCTGCCTTTGACATACTCTTGCATCTGCCACCAATCAACAGGGAGATAGAAAACCAAGCCTTTTATTTAATGAGTTGAACCACTCTTTCAGTCTTCAAGCCTAATACATTGAGTGTGCAAGGATAGCACTAAAATAGCGTAAATCTGCACACTGGAACTTTTTTTGTTGTCTTTTGAAAATTAAAAGAACCCAAAGAATTACCTGTATAAGTCTGTATAAGCTGTAGGACTCAGGCAATCTTGCAGGTGAGAGGCAACTCTGCTTAAATAAGGAATACGACATGTTTTCTCTCAACTCTTAACTCTTTGGTAATGATTTTAGTTTGAAATGTTTGGCATACATGGACTAATAAGGACGCTTAGCAAATCAGACGTGCTCACTGTCCCCAGATCTTACACGCTCTTCAATCCTGTATCTTCACTAGCATTTCAGATTCTACTAGCAGGGGTGCGCACACATATTACAAGTAGCAGATTTGAAAAGGAACAGTAACGTCCTTACCATGCAACCTGAGCTGTACACCTCTGACAGCTTCTTAGTCCTTCTGCAATTCCAGCACAAATCCACATTCATGATTTAGTTATGCCCCACAGAGTCATAGCCCTACATTAATTTCCTTTCCAGAAAAATTTCCTTTCTTCATGCCAGCCCCCTCCTGTGATATCTCCTGCCTGCTCTTCTGCTTATAGAATTAGTAACATTGGTTTTGAATAATATTGTTTTTGAACATATTTTTCAAGCTTTCTTAGAATTTGAACTTGATTTATTTTCTTTCTTTTCCAACTCCACTGCCAATATTAGCAGACACTAAGTCAGTGGAGATAAGCAGGGGCAGAGACAGCATTTTTAGTTGTATTTTTCCCAGGCAGATACTAATATAAATTCAATGAATATGAACTTGCATCTAAAGGCTAGAAATCTCCACAGGTCCTTTGCTGCAGGGAAAAGAGGAAGTGCTCAGACCCAGTCAGAGTCAATCCATGAATTAAGAGTTGCTCCATTGTCATTATTCCTCTCTTTTCCTGTGTTATATATTTGTTCTTTTTCTTCCTTCTCAAATTTTATTTCTTACTCATTATCTTTACCCTTTCTTCCTCTGAAAAATCCACATTTAGTTTCTTTTTCTGAATTAATTTTAGACTTTCAAATTGTCTTGCTTTTTACCTTCAAACAAACAAGTCCTACCACTGTCTCTGAGAGAGCCATATGCAAAGAGACAGTACCCTTTTTGTTCTCCCTCTCCTGAAGATGCTTGCAAAGTTTAGATATGCACTAACAATGCTTGTAGACATAGTACAAACACATGGTTGCAAGAGACAGTTAAGTCACCTGAAGAAGTAGTAGGACAGTCTTCCAGTTTCCCTATCTGACTCATGAGTCTGCAGCCTTTTAGTAGAACACACTTTTTTTTCCCCCTCTAATCCACTGTTTTTAACTTTACTACTGAAAGAGTATAGGGAGTGCTATGGACTAGCTGGTGTTTACAGCATACTAGTTCTAGAGATGCAGTACCACATCTATTCTCTTCCCCCTGCACTGGTCTATGTGAAAAAAGTATCTATTCTATTACGCTAAAACAAACAAACAACAGCACACCAAAACAAAACCAAAGCAGAATAAGCAGCTTGCTTTAAAATACCATACTGAAGTAATCCACTGTACTCCAAAATACATAACAAATTTTAGGGGCTGTCATCATTAAGTGCAGCAGCAATACAGTGGCTTTGTGATAAAAGAGTTACCATCATTTACACTGAAATATTAAATTCACCCTCTATTTGTTATAAATTTGTGAACTTGGACCTTCCGCCTGAAAAGTTCACATTTGGAAACCAGCCCCTGTGGGGAGGAAATACACATTAACATGTTCTAAGGAAAGAACAATTTTAATTGGCCAAATGAACTTCAGCTAACAGCACACATTACATACAACTGCGAAAATACCCTTTTTGTTTTTTGTTTCTTATGAGTTTAGCATATGCTACACATATACATAAGACAAATATATTTGTACAGAGCTAAGTACACCCATAACGTGAAGGAACAACATACACTTAACAGTACTTACAGGATAGAGTTGACTGTAATTTAAAGAAAAACAGACCTCTCTTGAGATTTGCTGGATTTTTTTTTTCTTCTGTCATTTGAAAGTAGTAAAAGGGGTTTCCCTCTCTGAGTTTCCTAAAGTACAATATGCTTGCAAAATTCAACTACTGGGTTGACAAATAATTGTTTGCATATTTACTGTAAACTAATAACAACAAGAAGAATTCTGGATTGCTATTTCCTCCTCCCTGCTTTTTAAATTTTCAGTTTTTAATAAATGTGATAACACGTGCAATAAAAAGGGATTAGTGTGTTTATTGTAAGCTTATGATGTCCAACTCAGCAGGGTCATCTCAAGCAGGTTGCCCAGGACTGTTTTCAAGAACATTTGAAAATCTTCAAGGAGAGAGACTCCACATCCTCTCTGGGCAACCTGTTCCTATGCTCCATCACCTACACAGTAAAGGATGTTCAGAGAAAACCTGCTGTGTTCCACTTTGTGTCCATTGCCTCTTGTCCTGGCACTGGGCACCATTGAAAAGAACCTGCTCTCTTTGCACCCTCCCTGCAGGTACAACCATGAGTTTCATCCTGAGCCTACTCCTCTCCATGGTTACCACTCCTAGCCCTCAGCCTTTCCTCATACGTGAGATTGTCCAATCCCTAAACTGCATGTGTAGCCCTTCACTAACTACTTTCCAGTAGCTCCATAACTGCTTTATACTGAGGAGTCCAGAACTAGAGACAGTACTCTGGCCTTACCAGCGCTGAGGAGAAAAGATGCTTAACCTCAACCAACTCCCTTGGCCTGCTAGCAACATTTCTCCTAATGCAATTTCTTTTTTTTTTTTTTTTTTTTAATAAAAATCTTGATTTCTAATCCCAGTGAAAATGAATAAACAGAGATTGCAAATGCAATAGTGTTATGGGATTCAAAAAGAAAAGTAGGCCATTATAACCAACATGGAAAAAAAAGCTCAGGTAACAACGCTATTTATTTCATAAGCTGATATTGCTGAATGATTTGTCTATGTTTAACTGACTAGGTTTTCCTTTAGATGTTTGTTCATCTCCTCCCTCTTCTCCTTCCTCATACTCTCTCTGAACCTCAAAGCTATAAAATGACTTCAATATTTTCTAAAAGAATAGTAAAATACATTCTTATTATCACATATTCTAAATGGGAGAAAGTGTTTTATTTCTGAAATACCATGTGATGAATTACTATAACAAGATAAATGCTCATACTGGATTCAGACATCACTCCCTCCCTTTGATTACCTACATTTTTATTCACTCTACAATATATTTTTTTATATTGATTACTGTGTAGTCATATGATATTGATACTCAATAGTCATAAATTCGTTTCACTCCTTCCTTCCCAAATATTCTCTGAGTAGCCAGCCTTGAGCAGTTTTCAGAACTGTCACTATAAAAGACTATAAGCTATAAAAGATTAAACACTAGAGAAGATCAAATGTCTTTCTTGACTTGCACCACAGCATTTGATGTCAAAAGCACAAATGGAGGTCCTCAGATTACTAACAGTGTCAGAGTACAGAAATTACCTTTCCTATTCTATAAATTGTCTAAGGAAGTCTTTATACACTATCAATACCTGTTTGCAAGTTTTAATTGAGTTTCATCTAGTCGGTCACAGGAACATTTGCTTCCTACATGTCCTGAATCACAGTAAGTATCAAAAGCTTTCTGTGAGTCACCGCCTTCACTAACAAAAGAAAAGAAGTGATATCTACAGTCTCGGGGGAAAAAAAGAAAAAAAAAATCTAAAAGGAGACAAACACAAAGCTCTCAAGCAAACAAAAAAATTCCCTCACAAACTAACACCCTCCTTGCCCAAAAGACATTCAATCTGAAAAGAGAAAAGGTGCAACACTCAGAAGCAAAGTTATCTTACCAAACGAGTTGATTTTGCTCTATCTAGAGTTGTTAGATTCACTTTCAGTTATTGAGCACTTTATCAAGCCAAATCATTTTACCTACACGTATTTATCCTGAAGAAAGTGATTGTTCCTTTCTGTTCTGCACTAACATGGCCTCACCTTGAGCAGTGTGGAGTTTTGAGCACTACAGTATAAGAACACTATAAGTGTCCCTGAAGGAGGGCTATGAAGATGGTGAAGGGTCTGGAGGGCAAGATGTATAAGGAGCAGCTGAGGTCCCTTGGTTTGTTCAGCCCAGAGAAGAGCAGACTGAGGGGAGGCCTCACAGCAGCCTGCAACTCCCTCACAAAGGGCACTGAGCTCTGCTCTCTGGGAACAGTGACGGGACCCAAGGGAACAGCATGGAGCTGGGACAGGGGAGGAAGGGTCAGGCTGAATATTGGGAAAAGGTTCTTCCCTCAGAGGTAGTCAGGCACTGGGATAGGCTTCCCAGGGAAGAAGTGGTCATGGCACTGAGCCTGCTGGAGTTCAAGCAGTGTTTGGATAATGCTCTCAGACACATGACATAGTTTTGGAGAAGTCCTGTGCAGAGCCAGTAGTTGGATTTGATGATCCTTGTGGTTACCTTCTAACATGGTATATTCTATGATTGCGATTTCTGGTATAGTGTATCAGTCAAAGGCAGCAATGTTTGCATTTTTGAAGAATTATCTGCAAATGCATTTTTCTCCTTAGATAATGAAATTAAGTTGAATCAATTTTACTTTTGCTTTTTAATAAGGGTTTGTATCCTTAAACTCATGTTTGATGTATCTTGCTTTATCCTTACTAATCCACCATCATGAAATGGGGCATACCATTCAAGCTACCTTACAGCTTATTAATTAGAGAATGAATTTATAATGCATCTGAAGGTCCATTACCTAAGAGGTTAAACTTTTCTTAAACTAAGTTCAGAGGATGATACTTTATGTGCTTGTACTTATGTAATGTGTAAGTTGACCTCTATTACTTTACAGTTTTGCAACATTTGCAACAGAAGTAAATTTTAACAATTCAATGTGGTGTCTAATTTTAACTGTTTACCCAATTATATCAACACTCATTCCCATTAAAACTCCAGTGAAACTCTTAATTTTCTTCATCTGAGGTCTGGAAAGGATGATCTCAACAAATAAAAACACAAGTTTAAACCCATGCAGGACTAGAAGTTAAAGGGACTTAACTGAAGTAAGTTTTAGTTTAGAGTTTTGCCTCTTCTGTTTTGTCCCCAGATTAATGTAATTTTAGAATGTACTGTACTTAATATGTACATATACACTGAGTTATTTTCAAAACATTATATTAACGTATAAGATGGTAAGACGTTGAAAGGATTTTCTTTTCCTTTACAGAAATGGATATTAGTTTGGATTAGCCTATTTGTGGTGTAATATTTCATGTACAACATGTATCTATGCTGACATATATGGACCAAGTGCTGAAATATTATCTCCAAAGACAGAGTATGTGGATAACATAATTTTTTAATTCTAAAGAAGTATTCCAATAAGAGCACTAGCCACCACAGCAGATGTTCCGATCATCTATTTCCATATTACTAAAGCCTAAGTGTTGAATCCCTTCAACACTTGACTTTATGTACCCTACTGGCCTATTGCATTTCCACAAAAAAAAAAAAAAAAAACAAAAACAGAGAGAGAGAAAGCTTTTTAAAGAGTTCATATATATATATATATATATATATATATGTATGTATATATATATATAAAAACACTACCCTGTAGGTGTGAAGTTATCCCCCCAAGTCAAGATCAAGTAACTGCAGTGGATGACTTCATGCCCTGTCAGCAGACAGAAAAGAATTCAGAGGTGTGAATGGTTACTCCTCATTAACAGTTTATTTCTACTGTATGTTACATTCCATCAATGATACTTCTGTTTTCTTACCAAATTCTTCATTAGATAAACTTGTGATAATGACACCATGCAGAAAATCAAAAACTGAGATTAAACAGATTCTTAAAGAGAAAAAAATGTTTGTACCAGAAAGCATCAATAAATACCTTTTCACATAGAATAAATAAAAATAGTCTCAAATTGAATGCTTTGTCAGCTTCTATTGCTGAACTGCATATTGATAATGGCTCCAAACAAGTCAGACAAGAATTCATTAACTTGCAAAATATTTAGCCATTTGTTTGATTGTACTGGAATGGGGTTTTACTACAAAGTGGCCATACTCTCTATCTTTGACCTTGATGAACATTTCCGTCCCACTGGCAGTTAAAAGATAACACAACAACTCTGGCATTTAAAGACATTTGCAGTCCTCTCATTCTCAGTAGTGACTGTGTCATGAAATGTAATTCATCTCTCTGCTTAAATTACTTGGCCATCAGATGCAATCGCCATTTGCTTTGTGACAAACCATTAGTTTGCAAAACAGTTGCAGGCTACACAAAACTGAGTTAATAGAAAGTGGCAAAGACCCATCCCCTCAACAGCAAGAACCTATGAGTTGAGGTATATCACAGAATCACGAAGGTTGGAAAAGACCTCCAAAATCATCTGGTCCAACCATCCCCTACCACCTATATCACCCAGTAAACCTCGTCCCTAAATGCCAGGTCCAACCTTTCCTTAAGCACCCCCAGGGACAGTGACTCCACCACCTCCCTGGGCAACCCATTCCAATGCTCGACTACTCTTTCTGAGAAGAAATGTCTCCTCATTCCTGACCTGAACCTCCCCTGGTGCAACTTGAGGCCATTCCCTCTAGTGCTATTGCTAGTTACCTGCGATTGTGACCATAGTTATAGGAAAGACTTCTGGAGCTCTATAATTGTTTGACTCTCTCAACTGACATCGGCCTAAGAATTCAAACGAATCCATCACCCTGTCCTCTCTCCAGACGACGTGCTAAGGCTCCCTCCTTTCTTACCTTACGCTTTGGGCCTAGCTGGAAGCCTTGCAGCCTCCTTGCGTGCTCAGGTAGGCAGGCACCGGGAGGAAGCACACCGACGGGCCTCACGACACTGCGCAGCCCAGGCAGGCCGCTAGAGGAGAACCACAAATTTTGTTTTGTTTTTTCCCACAAGCAGGGCCCGATGCCATCAGGCCCAACGCCCGCCCGCCCCCGTGGCCGGGCCCAACCCGCAGGGCTGCCACGGGGGGCTCTGTCTGCAGCCTCCCCGTGAAGGCCCGTGCGGCCGGAGCCTCCCCGGCCCAGCCTCCTCCCCCACACCGCTGCCACCACCAGCCCGCGGTCACCGAGGCAACGTCCGCAGCCCAGAGCAGGCGGCGGCGGCGATAGATACCCCAGGTGAGCGCCTAGAGCGGCTGCACAGGAAGTGCCCGCGGCCGTGGAGATGACGCACTGGAAGGTCTCCCGGGATGGTGTCCGCGGCGGGGCATTGATTGACAGGCGGGAAAGCAAATCAAGAGGCTCAGCGGGAGCCGGGGGAGCCAATGGGAGAGGGGAGGGGGCAGGGCGGGAAGGGCAGCTGCTGCAGGAGGAGGTGGGAGCGGCAGGGTGGAGCGGCAGGGCGGGGGCGGTGGGGAAGAGGGAGGAAGGAGGCTGTTGCTGTTGCTTGGCGTGTGCAGATAAATCACTTCAGCACGCGTGCTAAAAGCAGGTCATGGGCTTTGGCCTGACTTGCTTTTCAGACAGGGGCTGACCTGAAGAACGCGGAAGGAGCGTGGAAATGAGCTTCTGATGTCAGTTTCTGTACAAAAAGCTTGGGCTTAATGCGCTTCCAGTTGAGGAAAACCCCATTGGAAAGCTGGGTGTTGCGGTTCTAGGCAGCAAGTTTGAGTTAAAAACAAAGAACGCTTCCATGTGCAGGGTACAAGCACTGATACAGCTCTTTAATAAACATCACAAAGTGAGACGTGGTGTGAAATGGACATACCACCATAAAACAATAGAGGACCTGTAGCTCAAGACTGATCGCTGTGCTGCATCCTTTTGAGGCTGATTTTATTTACTGGTTTTCTCTGAGAGCCATACTTTCTAGGTGAGAGTCTTCTCCAGCTTCTTGCCTGTGTTTTGACCCAGTACTGCAGATACAGCTGACAGTCTCGGATTGTCACACGAAGTTTCAGAATGCAAGCTTGTAGTGCTGTTGTCAATGGTTGAAAGAGAGACCCTGTAATAGGACACTGAATCTTGCGTGCAGAATAAAAGTTTTGACATCGGTTCTGGAAGACAAGTTTCAGAACAGTTCGTGAGTACAGAACTTGTAATGAAGCCACCTTTCCCCCCCCTCGAGTTCTTGAAAGAAACACTAAACAAATGGATAGTTCATGTATGAATTTTATCCATGTTTCTATACTCATCTGACGATCACATTTCCTCATGCTGTTTCTTCTGCTCTGTTCATACGGATATCATCTGGCTTCCATGCTGTTGAGAAATTTCTCTCTCCTCCAGGACTCTATGTGGACGAAGACAGCAAATTCATTTCCAATTATATCAGTTTTATAGACTGAATGGCTGAAAACAGGTACTATTAGCTTTTTCTAAGCTGGAAAAGAATGTGCTTACTTAAACTATACCATAGTGGTGAAAAAAAAAAATAAATCAGATACGCAGAATGAAAGGGGTAGCAAATTAAGATTACCTTTCTCTTCGAAAAACTTTCAATGCTCCTTCTACCTGCAAGTGGTGCTTGAATTGTAGTGGTTTGTGGCTGATTCAGTAATCAAAATCTTATTTGTAGTGTCTTTATAGCAGACTGCACAGATTAGGAATTTAGTCACTGGAGTTAAATGTTCTTCCTGAAGCAGAAAACCACAACTAAGGGACTGAAACACAAGGAAAGCATGGGGGATGGAAGAGAAATGAAAAGCTAGAGCATACCTTTGTCCAAGGTTTTCATTGTATCTAACCTCTCTGTCACTTCTATCCTTCTAATTCTTTCAGGAGATAGAAAAACATCCTCTGTCACTATAGAAAAGCACTCTCAAATTTCCATGCTACTACTTGAAACGTGGTGATGCTTTTAAAGCAGACATTTTCCATGGCCTTAACTGCTCACAGGTCTGTCCTAAAACCAAAGTAGCCACTGTGCATACCTAGTAAGTACTGTTCATAAACATTTTTATAATGTTTGACCTTAAGAGTGACCTGAAGATTAATGGATATGTTGTATCAGTTTTAATGGGCCTCTTCTCCCTTGGATGCACACATGTGACTCCCATTAGCCTTAATGGGAGTTATATGTGTGCCTAGAGGTTAGACAAGACCTCTAAAGGTGCTGTTATGCTCTGTTGTATTAACGATCTCATAATTGCTGAGGTGCTGCACCTTTGCGTTGAAAGCAAACTAATTAAATCAGTCTAGTATAAGTTGGTATACTAACATACCTGGTATGTATGTGTTTTTTTCCTATGAGTCTCTCAGTACATAGATGTGGAGGCCAAATCAAATGTAGAATTTAAATTTTAACCAGTGACATGACTTTGTTTTTAAATATCTTTTAAAAATCTAAATGGTTTTGTGAATTTGATTTCTAAGGATGACTGTTTATGCTAATGCAGAGGAAGATGAATGCAATGTTTTATTTTATCATTAACATGTACACTGAGAGGAATTGAATTGATTCTTATTTTTGATGTTCCAAATCATGCACTTTGAAAAAGGCAGTTAGGTCTAGAGGATTAATATGAATCTTGATGTTGAATTTTAATTATAGCTCTGTTGCTCATTTCTTCTAAGTGCCTTTAGACAAAGCACTTCACCTTTCTTTGATTTCCCCATATGTAAAATACCTGCTTGCTTCATAGTGATGTAGACATAAATTAATGTCTGTTCTCTGCTTTGAAAACATAAGACTAGTCCATCCAACTGCGTTCTACTGGCATAATAATGACAGCTCAGGAGGTGGGGAGGAAAAAAAAAAAAAAAAAAAAGCCTAACCAAAAAACCTAGCAAAAGCCCTGGTGGAGATGTAGATCTGCTGACAGAACTAATTCTGTTCCATTACTTTATGATGCATAAGGCAGGGGAATTATTTTTATTTTTATTTATTTATTTATTTATTTATTTTTTGGTGGAAGAGGTTGTATCGTAGGCAAATCATTTCATATTTTATACACATTAGATGTTTTTATTGATCAAAATCATGATTAGGATTTGACTGTTACTATTAAAGTTTGTGTGCTGTCTTCTGTCACTATTTACATAAGTTTGAAAATTAACTATGATGTAGTCATGTTTGCAGGTATAAATCTGGTGAAAGATTGAATCTTAATATTTACTTTCTGGAGGAAAAGATTGTGTGGTAACCTCCACAGTTTAAGTTTTTCTTTTCTTGTGTCAGGTGAAGGTACTTCATATATGCTCAATTTTGTTATTCAGTTCTGCTGTTTATGAAGTAACATAAAGATCTTGCATCTATTCTGATTAATTTTATTTTGCATTTACGTGGCTCATAGTCTTTATTAGAAAGCAACAAATTTCCGCTGGTATCGATGGTATTGTCTCAGTATCTTGAAATACATGGAAAAATCTTGTGAATGGTTTTGTAAGTATACTTTCAGATTTTGACTCCAATGTATAAAACGTGTGATACGTTTATATCATTTTTCTTCATCATGTGAATTTCAAAGATTAATTTCAATATATACCTATATCAAGTAACCTGAGTTTATTTCTCCATTACTCTTTTCTTTTAATGAAGAACTAGTTATTCCTCTCAGTGTTATATTAAGTATACATAGAACGTTGTTGAAGTTGAAAATGAAAGTTGAATCTAGCTCACTTCATTTTTAGTACATATGCTTATCCAGAAAAAGAGAAGGAACAGGTTTGTTTTATAACCCTTGCCAACTGCATACCTACCGCCCCACCCGCTGAGATTTTAGTTGTGCTTCTGTGTACTTGAGGTTCTTTCTCCTAACTTTTTTTTTTTTTGATGACATACTGAGATAGGGATTGTGTCCTATGTCTTTTTATTGTCAAGCACCAGACCTCTCATGAAGGAAGCTTCTATGGGGGAAAAATACATAGTTTGGATACTAATTATAGTCCAGTTTTCTAAGGAGAATAATCAACATCTTCAAAAACAATTTAGCTATTTTTTCTCTTTGTCTAGTATAACAATGCTTATATTATTTTTACCAGTTGTCACGAAGTGAGTGTTTTATTATATTCCCTATCATTTAAGTGTGATTAAACGCTGGAGCAAGTTGCTCAGGCAGGTTTTAGGGTGTTCATCCCCAGAGATACTCAGAACTTGACTGGACACATACCTGAGCAACCTCCTGTAGTTCACCAAGCTTTGAGCAGGCTTTGGATAAGAGGTCCCTTCCAATCTCAACCATTCTGTGATTGTGTAATTTGTGTATTTTGTGAAGACTTTTTCATTGTATATCAATTCAAATATTTAAAATGGTAATTGAGGCTGAGTAGCCCTATTTTATCCCTATCTTTAATTTAAAAGCATGTAAGCAGAAGTAGTTAGCATAACGTGATTGGCCATGTGGAATGTTATAAGGCTAAACAATAGAATATATACAATGCACTGTACTGAATAAATTAGTTTTCTCAGAATGGAAAGACTACAAGGAATTGATATGCAAGCTTTTAATGCAAGCTGCTTTATATTTTAGCCTCAGTTGACATGCTACTAAACAAATATTGCAATAAATGCTATTTGCATTAATTACCTGTGTTTAATTTTCATGCATGAACTCCCAATTGCCTTAAAATCATTTTATATTAAGTATAATGATTTTATCTTAAGGTTTTAACAAGAAGGAATGAGGTAGACATTTTTTTATTTTTTTTTATATATAATAGTTAAATTTTAACTAAGTCAGAAATATGAGGTGGTTTAATGGGAAGTTAAAATGTTGAAGTTGAGAACAAAAGCAGGATACTGGGATTCATTTGAGTTATAGTCCGATTTTGAATTGATTATATAACTTTAATGTTGTGATGTTACTGTATCCAGTCGCTTACCCCAGTTCTGTAGAAAGCTAGCCGAATAGGTAAACTAAAGTCAGTTTAGCCTTTGTGTTTCATAGTCCTGTGCCTTTGTTAACAGTTTCAAGCTTTAGGGGTCTGAAAGCTGGCATAGGTACTCTTCACTTTTGACTGTAGGTGCTACTAAAACAATACAAGTGGAAAACGGATCTGTGATACCATTTCAGTAACAATTCATTTGACCTTGCCCTAAGAGCTCTTAAGGATTTTAGAATCCTGTCGATCATTAGGAAGTATTCCATAAAGTTGTTGTGTATGCCAGCTGCATTAAAAGACACCAAAGGAAAAAGGTGTGCTGTGCTGCATGTGCTCAAATAATTGTGAGGGTAATAAATTACTTTAGACTAATGATTCCTGTATGAACTTAATAATAATAATTAAAAAAAAAAAAAAAAGAAAAAAAAGACATGAAAGCCTAATAATGCTTTTGGTAACCTGTACATTTATTACATCTACTTGCACACTTCATAGATAGAACAAAATATATGGCTTCATTTGTTAGTGGTTGCTGGAGAGACTGATTTGATGTGCTTTCTCTACTTGTGTTGATCCCAGGTACAAAAATTAGTGCATTAGTACAAAAGTTGCAGACATTATGCATGGAAATAGGCTAAAAAGAGCATTTCTTGATTTATTCTTTTCTTTTCCTCTCTTATAATCAAATTTGAATTATTTCTGTCCCTTTTATTTTTGTTTGTTTTTTCAGTAAGATGACAGAGTCCAACTTTGTATTCTTTTACAAGAGAATAGTTCGTTCCATTCAGTTCATTGTGCAACTAATGTCACAGAAAAATCCTATAGGAATTCAGTGCTGTTTAACTCAATTTTCATAAGCCACTGTTGCTCATAACTGGTTTAAATGGGCTAAGTTCTGAATGAACTTATGTAATGGTAAACAGGAGTATTTGCTGTTTTTTCTAGGGTGTTAGTAAAAAACTAGGGTACTATGTTTTCATCAGACTGATAGAATTTTCACGTTATGGATTATTTCAAGTTAGAGGAGATTATCAGCAAGTATGTTCTTTGTGATGTAATGGAAGAAAAAAATATGAATATTCATGCAATTATACATGCAAAATCAACTAAGTTATGCAGATACCTAAAAGGAGGAGGAGAACTGGATTTTAGAGGAAACCTCTGTTGTGTTCTGATATCAACAGCAACTTAGATCACGTTGGTATCACATCAGAATAATGTTTTACAGCCTCTGCCAATTTAAAAATCAAATGGATGTTAGATTTGTATAGAACAACACGTTTGACTGACAGAAAAGGCTGTTATAGATGGATGTGATGTTCTATCCTTGTATAACAAGGGTTTTGACTGACAGTTTAACAATAGTACACTTTCTATCCCATATATTCTAAATGATTATTATTACAGTACAAAACATTTTTGCACTTGCTGTATATAGATAACGTACACTTTTTGTGTAATAACATTCAAGAAGAGAGGGTTTCTTTTATGTCTTAGAGATGATGACAATTAATGAAGGTTCTGTCTGACACTTATAACCAATGTCAAGGATTGCTATTGTGGTGCATGGTAATGTAAAAACTATTGGGTACTTAGCTCCCAGTGAAGGATCAGCGTAACTCTTGACACATGCTATAGGGTGGATGAAATAAATCTCCTTGGAGAGCAATAGAAATATTTCTTAAAATGAAGAGCACCCTTTCTGTCTTATAATCCTTCTTTTCAGCTTTGTAGTTCTTTGCATATCTGTAAAATGCAGTTTTAATCTGAAAAGTTACTGTTTGAAATGGTACCTATTAATGCAACAAATTTGCTTTCTGTGCTTTTCAGTCAACATTGCTCTGATATGAGACTGAAGATGATTCTTCAGAACAGTGGCTAGAGATAAGGAAGGTATGCTTTGTCTCGTTTGTAGGTATGTGTCTCATTTTCTTTTGGGGAAGCACCTTTTTGTAGTATCTTTCTCATTTTAAGATTGACGCTTCAGGTTCTTGGCAGTTTTTGTCCTTTAGATCTTTGCAGAATTATGTACACTAACTTGTTTCTCAAACCGTAGGTGTCTCTTACTTTGTACAAATTTTAATGAAAGCAGGTATACTACAGTGTTTACATTATATTTGATGATTATACAAAGCTAAACATTAAAATCCAAACTTCTTTGTAAACTTCACTTCAGCATTGCATGCAGCTAATGAAGAAAGCATGCTATTTTATCACCCTCACAATGAAATATACCAAAAAAGATTTAAATGAATAAAAAATGGGGCCATGGATGTTTATCAAGACAAGTCTCACTTTTATCTGTCTGATTATCTAGACAGGGAAAACTTGGTAAATACAAAGATTGCTTTTGCTGTATTGATTTTATAAATTGGCTTACTGTGAAGGATATTTTTCTTAAATGACTTTGAATTTGGTAATGGAATTAAATAGTTTGATTTAATAATTTTAATAAAAATTGTAGTTTTATCAATATGAATTGCAAAGTTTTTAAGTGAAGCCAACTAAAACAAAAACAACAACAACAAAAAACAGTTTTCATCATGTGGAGTTATATTGATTTTCACATAGTTCATTGTGATCTGCTACTTAGTTTGAGAGAGAACTAATGACAGTCATCTATATTTGCACTGACTTCTACAGGTTGTTAAAGCATGTGCTTTGCTGACCACTGAAAACTGAGAATTATAGACTCAGATTGTGTTCAAGTTTCTGAGCAGGATACATCCTGCTCTCCTACATTATATAGGTACAGAATTGTCCGTTACTTCCTCTCAGCTGACCACATCTGTCCGTGTCCCTCTTGTTTAACGTCTTTTCCTGGCATCTTTTTTCTTCTTGCTATCATTGCTTTACTGTCTGTTCTGACTTTGCTCATTGTCCTTCATAAGTAAATATGTGAATATGTGTCTAAAACTGTCTCATCTTAGTTCCTCCCTAGTTTCTTGCGCTTTTTTTTTTTGTTTGTTTGTTTTGTTTTGTTTTTTTTTTCTGACCTTTTACATCACTGTTTCAGTAGAAGTTGTCTATCTAATCTACCTAAATTGTCTTTGGTCTTTCTTCCTTCTGTTATGTTTCCATCATATGTGAACTCTCAGTGCTCAGTTAGTGAAAGAACAAAATGCACAAAAGATGTTCCCTTGCTGTCTCTTCTTGTCTTTGGCTTTGTTACAGCCTGGAACACAGACAACAAAGGAATGGATTAGCTCCTTCATCTCCAAGTTGTAGAACACTTAGTAGGGATAGTTTTGTTTTTTTTTTTTTTTTTTTTTTTTTTTAGAGACTTTTTCTTTTGGAATGAATTTTCTGCTGAACATACGTAAAATATAATTTGCAGAGATTCACAACTTGCCCGAAGGTGAGAAACGGTGCAAGGTTTGGGAAAATATTATTTTGAGATAGTTCATCACATATGCCTTATGTGATATCTCTTGCATTAAATAATGAGTATGATTTTCCTTTAAAAACATTTCCTGACTTTTGATAAAGACAAAACATTTCCTATGTACTTTGTTTTTTAACTGCCAGCTTAGTTACGTTTTTTCACCTGGGGAGCTGAAATATTAGTTTCTTTTTAGTTGGACAAAGTCTGACATCTTGGAAGCATTTGTTGTACAAAGAACAGCACTTCTAAATAACTGTAAGGGAAATACACAGACATTTGTAAAGTTGTGTATTGTCTTTATGTAGCAAAGTTTTTGTAGTGAGGGTTTGCAGGGGCAGCCTTTGTGAGAAGTCTAGAATGTGAGACAGCCCTGCAGACACTAAGGTCAGTGCAGAAGGAAGGCAGAAGGCGCTCCAGACACCAGAGCTGAAGTTGTCCTGTGGCCTGTGGAGAGGCCCATGGTGAAGCAGGCTGCAGCCCATGGGTCCCACATGGCGCAGATCTCCACGCTGCAGTCCATGGAGGAGCCCACGGTAGAGCAGGTGGATGTGGCCTGGAGGAGGCTGCAGCCCATGGAGAGCGCCCGCAGGAGCAGGTCCCGGGCCAGAGCTGCAGCCTGTGGAGAGGAACCCACACAGGAGCAGGGAATGTGGGGGGAGCTGCTGCCTGTGGATAACTGTCTGTTCCTGACCTGTATTGGAGTGGTTCTTAAAGAGCTGCTGCATGGGAGGGACCCCACACTGGAGAAGGGGAAGAGAGTGACTGTGAAGGAATGGCAGAGACTCTGGTGGTTTTACTCAGGTGGCAGCCAAGCTCCACCACAATCACTCTTTCACTCCCCCTTCTCAAAGGGAAAGGGGGAGAAAATATGATGTAAAGGGCTCAAGGGTTGAGATAAGGACAGGGAGATCACTCAACAATTATCATGGACAAAACAGACTCGGAGTAGGGAGACTAGTAAGTTTTATTGCCTTTTACTAACAAGCTAGAGAAGTCAGAAACAAAGGAAAGAAACCAAAAACACCTTCCTACTATCCACCCTCTTTCACCTCCTCCTCCTGAGTGGTGCTGGGTAACGGGGGAATGGGCTCCGTGGTCAGTCTGTAACACTTTGTCTCTGCCATTCCTTCATGGTCACTCTCTGCCCCTGCTCCATGTGGGATTCCCAAACTTATCCTTCCCAAACTGATCCTGCATGGGCTTCTCACAGGCAGCAGCTCTTGAAGAGAGTTCTTGAAGAATTTATCCAAATGTGGGTCTGTACCATGCAGTTCATCCATCAGAACCAAACTGCTCCAACATGGTTCCCCCACAGGCAGCAGCTTGTGCCAGGTCACCTGTTCCTGTGTGGTCCCATCTTCATGGACTACAGGCCTGGCCTGGAATCTGCTCCACTGTGGGTTCTCCACAGGCCTGCAGCCTCCTCCAGTGCAGGTTCACCTGTGCAACTGTGGTCTCCTCCATGGAGATCTGCACCACCGTGGTACCTCATGGGCTGCAGAAGGACGCATTGGTCTGTTAGAGTGGGTCCAGAGGAGGGCTACAAAGATGATCAAGGGGTTGGAGTGCCTCTCCTACGAAGAAAGGCTGAGCGAGCTGGGGCTGTTCAACCTACAGAAGAGAAGACTAGGGCGACCTCATTGCAACCTTTCAGTACTTAGAGGGGACTTAAAAAGGATAGGGAGCAACACTTTGCTCAATCAGATAATGACAGGACAAGAGGGAATGGTTTTAAACTAAAAGAGGGGAGATTTAGATGAGATATTAGGAGGAAATTCTTCACTCGGACGGTGGTGAGGCACTGGAACAGGTTACCCAGAGAAGTTGTGGATGCCCTAGAGGTGTTCAACGCCAGGTTGGATGGGGCCCTGGGCAAACTGATCTAGTGGGTGGCATCCTTGCAGGGGTGTTGGAACTAGATGATTGTCGTGGTTCCACTTGAGTGGGCAGCCGATCTCCACCACAGCCGCTCTCTCACTCCCCCTCCTCAAAGAGGAATGGGGAGAAAATATGTGAAAAGGGCTCAAGGGTTGAGATAAGGACAAGAAAATCACGCAATAATTATTGTAACGGGCAAAACAGACTCAGCATAAGAAGATAGATAGTAAGATTTATTGCTCATTACTAACAAGCGAGAGAAGTGAGAAACAAAGGAAAGAAACCAAAAGCACCTTTCCCCCCCATCCACTCTCTTCCACCTCCTCCCCCCCGAGCGACGCAGGGGAACGGGGGAATGGGGGTTATGGTAAGTCTACAGCACTTCTTCTCTGCCGCTCCTTCTCGGTCACTCTCGTCCCCTGTGCTGTGGGGTCCCACCCATGGGATACAGTCCTTGATGAACTGATCCGGCGTGGGCTTCCCACAGGCAGCAGCTCTTCCAGAACTGCTCCAGATATGGGTCCGTACCATGGGGTCCATCCCTCAGGAGAAAACTGCTCCAACCTGGCTCCCCCACGGGCAGCAGCTCCTGCCAGGTCACCTGCTCCTGCAGTGGGCTCCTCTCCATGGGCTACAGGTCCGGCCCAGAATCTGCTCCGGCAGGGGTCTTCCACAGGCGGCAGCCTCTGTCGGTGCAGGTCCACCTGCTCCACCGTGGTCTCCTCCACGGACTGCAGCGTGGAACCCTGCTCCACCGTGGTACTCCATGGGCTGCAGGGGGACATCCTGCTTCACCATGGTCCTCACCACAGGCCTGCAGGGGACTTCTGCTACTGGCAGGGAGCAGGGGACTTCTGCTCCTACTTCTGGCTCACACTGACCTTGGTGCCTGCAAGGCCGTTCCTCACTCCTTTCACTCTCCCAGCTGCTGTGTGGCGCAGCATTTTTTTTCCCTGTCTTAAATAATGCTCTCACAGAGGCGCAAAACAACATCGCTTATTGGCTCAGCTCTGGTCAGCAATGGGGCCCTTACCAAACATAGGGCAGCTTCTAGATCCTTCTCACAGAAACCATCCCTATGGCCCCCCTGCTACCAAAACTTTGCCACGTAAACCCACTACAATGATCTTTGAGGTCCCTTCCAACCCAAGCCATTCTATGATTCTATGACAGGCAGGGGGGATGAGGGGGATTCATCACTGTCTGTGTCAGTCAGCAGCTGGAGGGCATGGAGCTCTGCCTGGGGATGAATGAGGAGCTGAGAGCTAATGGGTCAGGATTAAAGGGAGGGCAGAGATAGGTGACATACTGGGGTCCGCTAAAGGCCACCTGATCAGGAAGATCAAATAAATGAGGTCCTCTATAGACAGCCCGCTCCACCACGGCCCTCTCCACAAGCCACAGAGGAACTTTATCTCCAGCACCTGGAGTGCCTTCTCCCCCTCTTTCTGAACTGACGATGATGTCTGCAAGGCTGTTTCTCACTCCTCATTCTCCCAGCTGCTGTTGTGTTGTGCAGCAGTTTTTTTTTTTTTCGTTTTTCCTTTTTTTCCTCCTTTCTAAAATCTGTTCTCACAGATGAGCAAACATCAGTTATTGGCTCAGCTCTGGGCAGTGGCAGGTCCTTTTG